TGCTGGCCAACTTTATGAGGTGATCAGTCCATCTTACCGAGGGACGCCTGGCACTCGATTATCCGGACATAGTCTCCATTTGAAAACCCGAGTAACCTCCCATCAGTTCAATTGGTTTTTCAGCTTCACTGTCATGGTCCACGTTTTAGTTCCGTAAACTTGATAGGATGCACTGATTCAATACTAGTAGCTCTTTCGCATAACTTTTTGTATATCGTGTTTCAACTTCGAAATATCAAATGAACTCCTGAATTATCTATCAGATTGATAAATAAACTTTCAGCAAACCAAGGAGTACCGATCGGAAAACTGGGAACAACTAATCTGATTTTGTATAACGCTATTCTATTATAAGAACAGCTGCAAAGTCAACTTCGAACACCTTATGTGATTCAATTAAATAAAACCTCCTTCAAATGGTAATAGAGTTTTTATTATGACAGGATTTTTTCGCCGACGAACTGCTGTTTTCTAACAGAATAGCATGTACCTATTATATGGTTTGAGATGTAAGAGTAGATATAGTATTCGTATAAATCTTTGGTTTTCTTGCATCAAAATAATGTTGTCGACCTTATCAAAACATATAAACAGACCTTGTTATTCACATTAATCTAATCAATTTATTAACTGTATTGGAAACTGGTAACATGATATCGAGTTACTACATGATGATAGCAGCTTTATTACACCAACTAGGATAACTGGGCGCTTATATGCAATAATGTTTTAACCCACACACAACATTTTGAGAAAATGGCGTGAAAGTATGCATACGGATTTGTTTTATAATAAATATATGTTTTTTCCATACTCTAAATCTTATGTATGTAAGGTATTATCGGTATACATCAAAATCTTTTCAACTATTTAGGGGTTAATTCATTATTGCTTATCAGTTTAAAGTATTAACCAAGTTTATCGGTGTCCACCTTAAGGTTCTTGTATATATACACACACAATAACCTAAATATATATAAATATATAGGTACAAAAATACGTAGTATTATAGTTCCCGAATGCTTACCATATAGGGGGAATATCAAAATATAGTTATTTTGAATAACCATGCATTTCTGACGATTAAATGACCTATAAGTGGCAGCCCTACACGTTTAGTTTATTACCTCTCGCTCTTCCCTCGAGTGGCTCTACTAATCTGGTTTTAATTCATGATAATTAAATAAATTTTAATACGTGTATTTCGTATTTTCCAGGTCCAGGATCAACACAAGCTTCCACAATTCGTGAAAGCGAGAAGAAATATTTGACTTTCTGGGTTAAAGGAAAGGAAAAGGGATGGAAGAAGTATCCTTTCCACAAAGCTAGAGATATCCCCAAAGATCCAAGACTAGACTTAAAGAAGTTTGTATTTTAAAATACTCATTATTTTATACTTTACAGAAAAATTAAAACCCCAACAATATTATGTACAATGATGCACAAGTCTCGCACGCAAGCTCATTCTGTCCTAAAAGTAATGAAATCAAATATAAACCGTCTGAATTAACTAAAAAATCATTTAAAATAAAAAAAGGATGTATATTTACCTATAGACCTCAGTATTTATTCAACAGGATGTCTCCACGGGTTCACGAAATGATGACGAAGAGACAGATGTACCTACCACATGATATACAGAAAGACGATCAACAAAGTGAACCTATAAAGATTCCCTTATTTCCTTTTTGAGACAGGGAACTCTTCTTTTTAATAACGAAAGGCAAATGCACCTTTCTTAAACGAGGGCTCTCCAACCACTCTTCTGTTAAAGCTTGGTAATCTACCTAGTAAAACCCGCTGAGGGATCCCTCAGTGGGACGGTAAAAATCCAGTATCCAACAAGAAGCCCGCCAGGCAGGAACTCTAAAAATACTATTGACTGTAATGCATCACGGAAATTCATTATTACAGCGTACATTATAGAATTTCAGTTTGATTCTCTTTATTAATTAATTCATACTATATATACATCGGTCAACTTTCAGGCTTTAAACATAAAAAAACTAATTAGATATTTTTACTGTTTTCCACAGAAAGACCTTGTTCCTCATACATGGCTACCTGGACAGTGTCAACTTCTTCATAACTCCAATATTTGCTAACGAATACATAAAGTTGGGCTACAACTTCCTCGTTATAGATTACACGAGATTCGTCACTGTACATTACTATATGTGAGTACAACCAAGAAGTATTGTTGCTTTAAAGTATCGATATACTTTAAGTATATAGAGGATACAGAAAGTCCAGGGCTGCCTTCGACTTACTCTCTAGCCATTTTTCAAAACGACTAAAATACATTAACACGCTGAAGACTAAATGCTAAGAAAAATTAACGCGTTAATAAATGCGTTAATTATTAACGCATAAGGAACATAAAAAGGATGCGCAACAAATGCTTTAAATAAAGCAGTACTCGAAATCTCATAGCACGTTATTTTTTAAGAAGTAAAAGAGATCGGCATAATATGCTGAGCTAGAGACCTTTTTAGTGCAACTGTGGGACATCATGATCGCTTGATATAATACCTACTCAAATATTATTATTTTCTATCTTTTATATCGTTTATTATCTCGTATATATTATCGTTTTCCGTTAATTTTCTTATTAATTGTCTGTAAGTATCCTATGTATGTGTGCCATATAAATGAATTTGATTTGATTTCATCAAATTTTTTTACATAACAATTTTTTTTTTATACTTACATAATCGCAATTTCATCTAAACAATTATCAACTAACTAACTAACTAAAATATCAAGTAACTAAACTATTTAATAATACACAATCATATTTAACATGCTACGAGAATAAATCCTTAACGAGCTCATTATCATTTTTACCTTAACTTTGATACAAGATCGGTTTCGCGCGCTGTGATTGTGATTAACGTCAATACTCGGCCGCGGGCGTTAATGATCGTTGCGTGTTAATACGCTCAAATTTTTACCGCCTTGACGTGTACATACTTAAGCGCTAAATACGATTAGCGTGTTAAATTAACACGTTAATTGCTAATTGAACTACCTCTACTAGCTATACCATAACTATAACCAATGGAAACGACATCTTAGTGACGTTGGCGATATTTCGTTTCACTTTACTATCTTGAGGTGTAAATACTTTAATAACTATGAAGAAATGATAAAGAATGCTGGTATGTCCAAGTGTTAAAAAGAAACTAAATATCATCATAGCATCCAGGGCCGGATTAGCCACGTAGCAAAAGTAGAAAATGCTACGGGCCCCGCGTGTTTGGGGGCCCCGCGCAAATGGGAGCCTCGCTATGGTTTAGAGCCATTAATTAATTATTTTTCAAGTAAACAATGCAAAAAAAGTAATAAAACTTAAGTCACAGATTAGTTGTGTTGTATTATTCGGAAAGCAAAGGACGACTTTTCTGTTTCGGGGGTGTAAGGGGAGATTTGCTACGGGCCCCACTCGGTACTGATAGCATCAATAAGATGTCTTATCCTATAGCTAGAGAGTTATGCGGTCGCTTTCGTGTAATTTCGAAACGTTAAATGCAATTCCATGAAGACGTAGGTAATTTTCGACTATGTAACAGGAATAGGGCAAGACATTCCTGCTAATATGCAGATAATCTGCACGAAAACGATTTAAATAATAAGAATACTAGCTTTGCCAGCGGTTTTGCACAAGTAGTCATGTAATTTACATATAAACCTTGCTTTTGAATCACCTGTATATGTCTTTTTGTTTATTTAATATGGATGTTGAAAAACTTAAACTTGTCTTTATTAAGCTAAAGTTTTATTTCTTCAAGTCAAATAGAGCCTTTGATACAAGAAAACGTTCAGTTAATTGTATTATTGATCGAAGAATCAAACTTAACATTTTATAGTTTCACATTAGCAGAGCGATTCTGTAAAAATCCGAACCCTGAAATTGAATTTACTCATGTGTCTGAATTCACGTCATTCAGTGTAGAAATTCTGTTGAGTCCATTATTTTATTTTATAAAAATACTCAGATATTCTATTCCTGTCATTTCGAAACTTCACTTATGCCACAAAACGTTATTACCAATTCAAGGTTGAACGAATGCCGCTTTTGAAGTGAATTTGGAAACCTGAGTGAATTCGAATTCGGTCATGTATTTTTACAGATCCGCTCTGCAGTACTCAAAACTATTCGACATCTTTTGAGCGAAGTTACAGTCTCAGTAAAGTAAACGCCTTCGAGAATTATCAAGGCAAAGTTTTACAAATGTTACTTTCCTTCTAAATTAGAAAATATTTCAGTTAATCTATTTTATTACCTCTTTATTCATTACGATCATAATAATAGAGCCAATGAATATAACGTTAGTTAATAGGCGCAGAACACTACTATTATTTTAATAGCAAAATGAGAAAGAGAAATGTAATATTCAGTTTCGGCTTACACCTACACATAATCAATTAACTATAAATACTTAAACTATAAATACGTAAAACGTTGTATTTCATCGTACCTAGTGATGCGACTCGAGTCCTGAATCTACTCCAGTCGCGAAGTGAATTTTTCAACTAGTACTCGAGTGAAAAACATATCACTCGGGTCTTTATGCACTTGACTTATTGAGTCTCTCTATGCACTCGAGTTACCGAGGGCCATCTAGTATGCACTGGTGGCATCTAGTGGTAAGCAATGTAGTGGCAAGAGAATTAACTCGATTCGACTAGTTGATTCTCTTGCCAGTAGATGTCACTTTGCTCCTCTAATTTATTAATACCTCCTTTTTTTTATTTTCTAGATCACTTAAATAAATAATATATGTAAACTCTTTTAATGTGTATTTTATTTATATAATCTATGTATTTGTTTAAAATTACTAAGAGATATCTCACATGAATAGCACGTTTGATTTTTTTTTACTCGAGTCACGCGAAAGTTCGAGAATGACTCGAGTGAGGTAGTCAGTTGGCAGAATCACAAAATCCTACTCGAGTGGTGAATTGTGTGGTGTGAAAGAGATTTCGAGTACGCTGCGGTACTAGCTTTGCAGATTTTATGGACCGTTCTCTATTTGTTTGTTTCTCAGCAATGGACAGGGGAGATAAGATTGCGGTTATGATAATATTGAAAAAAAAAATCTAAATTGTAGATATAAGTTATAATTAAGTATGGGAAAAAATAAACAATCATACCCCAACAATTCTACTGCGAACACATTGTATCGCATTAAATCGAAATATGGAAAAACGAACGTCAAGACTTATTGAATGCCAACTATCTACAGTTTGATTCAAATAAAGTGTATTTACGGTATTTAGACGCATACTAGAGTAATTCTGCTTATGTTAGCATAATTAGGTATGGAAAGTCAATAGCGCTGGAACTACAATCCTTGTTACACAGTTGATAGAGTTCTTTTTGCTAGATCAAAAAATAATAAGTTTATTGTCACCATCGATTTGGTTGCGAATTTATATAGGCAGAATAGGCTAGCACCCTGTGTAACATGAGGAACTTGAAAGACTCGAGTTGTTTCGGCATATTTCTCATCCCATTTCTTGAGTATCGAATTTGTCATCTACCTACGGGTGCTGGACACATTTGTGCGGTGAAAAAAAAATGTTCATCTAATTTGTAAGAAATTAATTAAAATGGTTCAACACAGAAACAAAATCATACTCACATTATTTTGTTACAGATCTAGTCGACTCATGCGACCTATAGGCAAATTGATAGCGGAAAAATTAGTGGAGATGACCGAAGAAGGTCTTGACCCTTCAAAACTGGAACTGATAGGGCTCAGTCTTGGAGGTCACACCATCAGCTATATAGCCAAGAATTACCAACAAATGACAGGCAGAAACATATCAAAACTAACCGGTCTAGATCCGTCTGGACCATGCTTTAGACATCTTCCACCAGAAGACAGGCTTTCTGCGTCAGATGCTGACTTCGTTGAAGTATTGCATATGAACATTGATGGGTACGGTATGGCTGCTAGGATGGGTCACGTAGATTATTACGTAAATGGAGGAGAGTATCAGCCAGGTAATTTGTACTTGTTGCCTTGTTCGGGTTTCTGCAGTCACATCAAACTTTTTCCTGTATGGATGTCAGCTGTTAAGAATCCAGACCAGTTCATTGCTATCAAATGTGACAGTATCCAGCAAGCTAGAGACGCTCAATGCTACTATCGAGAGCCCAGGGAAACTAATCTGTTAGGCCCGAAGGTTAACCAGAGTGTCCAGGGCATCTTTTATTTGTCTACCACTAGAGGACATCCATATTTCTTGGGCGCTAAAGGGCTGGATCCTAAATATGCTGCTTGGAAGCATTACAGCGAATTGAACGCGCGTAATAATGAAGAATTTTACACGACATTTTTTGGGCAATGAGAAATAGGTGCAGCCGTTACGTGATGTCATTACCAAAGGAATAATATAAACAATTATATTAGAATCGAAAAAGAATATGACTATCAATGGTATTCAGTAATAAATGTTATTAGATTAATTATGAAGAATATATTACTAATCGTAACACGTTTAATTTAGGTACAGTGCCCGACACGAATCTAAAACACTACCACGCAGAATCTAAAAATAAAACAAATCTTTGTAAAAAAAAAGAGTGTAAACTAAGACGGTAACTATATACAAGCGGCTAAAAGCATAATAATAAATATAAAACCAGACATCAATAAAGTTTAAATAAATATATTGACGAGAAACGTCGCTACGAGTCTTACAATCAATATTAATAAATCTGTTGGTAGATTATGAGTACTTAAAAAATATTATGTCAAACGATATGTATGATTATGAGTAAGCAAATACCACAGTGAAAATGACAAACGTTTAATTTAAAATAGAAAGTAATAGAAAAATATATTAAATATAGCTGTTTTCCCGCGACTTCGAACGCGTAAATTAGAGCTTATATCAACCCTGTACGATAGGCTGTGAGAGAATATTTAAGGCCCAGTAGTTTAAGAGCCTATTCGATATTAACAAACAAATAATCAAATCGCAACAACAAAAGGAACACAGATGAGAATTCACCTATAAAATTACTTATCAATATTATTATTAACCAAATCTAGATTAGAAACGCAGCATTTGGGTTTACTTTCCTGCCGGGTACTGTATCAAGTTAATTTTTAATGTTTGCTTTGGTATTTTGTAAATACCAATATAATGTAGTAAATACAGTGTTGAACGTATAAGAAGAACAATGAAATAAAATCTTATATTTTAATTACCTTTTGAAGTAGATTTTATATGATTATTGTTCGAGATTGTATAAAAAACATCTAAATATGTATATATATATAATTGTGGTGTTTTAATTTCAATATTAGTTTAAATATACGTTCATAAGCTATATAAATATTTAACTACAAACTTGCGGATATTTTTTGGTAAATCGCTTTAATTATTTTTAATTTGGTTTTAATTTCTATATCTCAATACTTGTTTTTTTTAAAAAAAGGATATCGTTTTCTTACAAAATAAAAATTGTATATATTTAAAATATAATTTCAGAACCATAACATCGTTTTATTTTTTAAACCAAGAATATTTACAAGTTACTAACCAATGATCAGATCTGCCTGCCATTCTGTAAAAGAAATCTGAAACAGCGCAAACTTATCAAAAACTCGAAAACTATAAATAGGAACAGGGGCAGAGGTAGTATTGTCATGAAAAGCCTTTTATGCCCATTGCTGGGGCTTTCATGTGAATAACATCAAATTGGGATAATGGGCCATGATGACCGCCAACGTGGGCAAGTTTACAACACGTTTAAACCAAGTACTAACTATGGTCCTCATTTAATAATAAGACTAAGGAAAACGCAGTTAAATTAGTAGTATAAACGAAAAATATAAGGAACAAAAAAAATTATTTATTAAGATACTTATCTCTTTTTCCTTGAAATAAGAGCATATAATATCGTCACGACATGCAGTTAGATGATTTCGCGCCAAAATTCTGACGGGTTGGAGTCTTTTTTTAAATTGCAACATAAAAATAGTTTTTTTTTTATATATTATATCACCAGGAAAATGTGCGTTAATAACTTTATCAAGTGTATTGTCTTGTTCGGTTTTTTATTAGTGCCGAGATTGTGTAGAAATTATAGTGATGTTAGAAGTGAAGAAGGTTATCCCAGAGGATATCTTTCCGAATGTATGTGCATTATTTATAATTTTTATAATCTCCATAATGCGAACTACTGGGTTATTCGCACGCCGCCGGTTGCAATGTGTCGCCATCTTTGAGTTACCGGGTTCCATTCCCGGTCGGGTCATCGTAGAAAACTGGCTTTTTATATTGCCTCGGATCTAGGTGTCGTGTTACCTTCGTTGTCTCTGATACTCGAGTATATGAAGTACATAATACGAGAGGTTTAGCTATTCACCTTGGAAACTGAGCTTTGTGTGTGTTGTTGTCTAAAATTTATTTATACGAGTATAATGGCAAAAAAATAACAATACACTGTCAGTGCTATTGATTCTCCTGTTATCAGCATATCGATGTCCCCTCTTCTGGGGCACAGGCCTTCCCGATCAATGAATCGGACCAAATCTGTAAAAACGGAATACGCACGGCATGAGCCACCACTTTTAAACCGAATGATCCATTACGGATTGGTGGGTGTTAACGATTGTAGATTTATTTATAAAATTGTTGGAAGAAAGTTATACAATAAAAAATCTTATAAAACTATAATATACTATAAATATACTACTTCAAATATATATTACAACCTATATATTGATCACGCACGCAGACACACCAAGTGCGCAGCTATGATAAAATCGGTAGTCTATAGTAAAGTAAATTAGATAATAATACCTAATCAATCACTACATAGTATAAAACAATGTCGCTTTCTCTGTCCCTACATTCCTATGTATGCTTAAATCTTTAAAACTACGTAACGGATTTTGATGCCGTTTATTTTCATAGATAGGGTGATTCAAAAGGAAGGTTTTTATGTATAATATAAGGCCACGCAGGCGAAGCTGCTGGCGAAAAACTAGTAATAAATAAAAATAATTAAAATATATTTCACTGTATCCCAATTACAATTTTGTTTTTTAGTTAGGTAAGTATAAATAAGGAAACAAAAAGGAGGCTAAAATACTTTGTGAAAAGGTATTTGTTTTCTTTGAACCGTGAAAAACAATGTTATATATATTTAACATTATTTTAAATCGTAATAATATTAAATATGCTGCCGGGCTAGCTTCACGTTTCTTCCAAAACATGGATAACAGGATAACAATTTTTTGGTCATTGATACTTACAAGTTTTCAATAACATAAAATACGCTAACCATTGCGCCATCGAGCTCCTCTCTGCCAGGCTTAAAATTGTTTAATAAATTCACAGTTTTAACATCTTTAAACTATTCAAGTTATTTCTACCTACTTAGGTCCGGGATCAACGAGACCTGCCAGGATTCCTGAGACCGAGAAGAAACACTTGACATTCTGGGTTAAAGGAAACGGAATGGGATGGAAGAAATATTCCTTTCACAAAGCTAAAAATATCGCTAAAGACCTTAGGATGAATTTTAAGAGGTTATTTTCAATAATATAGTTACACAAATATAACATGTTAGGTGCCTAATGTTTCATAATAAATCTAATATATGTTATAGACCAGGTGATTAATGCAGACATTATTAATAACTAGTGGCCGTCAGCGACTTCGTCCGCGTTTTCCATTATTTCTTCGCTCCTTATAGTTGCAGCGTGATGTTATATAGCCTAAAGCCTTCCTCGATAAATGGTCTATTCAACACAAAAAGAATTTTTCAATTCGAACCAGTAGTTCCTGAGATTAGCGCGTTCAAACAAACAAACAAACTCTTCAGCTTAAAATATTAGTATAGATGTGCGAGCATTATTAATAATATCTAGCTCTATCGGGCTAAGTGATTAATTTCTATAATTATTTATCACATTGCACAATTATTAATATGCTATATGACAATTGAGCAATTTGATAATAAATTTTAATTTGACGCGGGGCGGGGAGGGAAGAACGCGTGATACGGTTTACTATAAGATGCTAATTATGCCAAATAATTAGTCTGATCCATTAGATCGTCCAGTAGGTCACGTGATAGGCTACAAATAAAATGGATTTCGTGGTATTTGTTTTTTTTTAGCAGATAACAAAAACAATGATTATATGCGAAGTTATTGTGCTCCTGTAGGTCCCGTGACAGGATATAAATTCGTCTGGAATTCCGAGGTTATTTTTTAATATATTCGAGTAGATAACAGTAAAGGTTCTTTAGTATTCCTAGTTTCGTATATCATATTTTTTTTACTATAAAACGAAACTTGAAATCTATGAACAAGGTCTAAATTTTAATTATCTGGTTGATATAGTAATAAAACTTTCCTTTTCTATTTTCTAATTAAACGATGCTTCTCCCCCCTTTAGCGTAGTCGCTGATTCTAAATTGATTCCGTCAAAACTTCTATAAAACATAGAAAAGATATGTTACATACAAAGATATGTTTTGAAATCTTTGTTTTTATTTTTATATGTTTATTCATAAAAACCTACGGTAAGTAATTTTAAAAATATAAGTACCACAAAACATATAGAATTAAAAACAAAGATTTTAAATTTATCAATTACGTGACCTAGGGGACCAAAATAACTTCGTTTATTTGATTTTTTTTTTTCATTATCAATTATAAATATAACAATAATCACATTTTTTATTTGGAATAATTAGCAGCTTATAGTATACCGTGTTACGTGTTATTATCAAATTGCCCAATTATCATGTAGCAATATAATAATGCCCTTTCAATGTGATAAATAATGAAGTTTAAAGCTAGACATTATTCATAATTCCCTTTAATCACCTGGTACATAAGCAGTCAGTAAAAAGAAGTTATTTTAATATTACAAACAGACAATTTTATTTATTTGTAGTGTTAATATTAATAAACTGTAAAACAGAAAGTACTTGTATATTGTAAAGAGAAAAAAATGATTTTTGTTTGTAGAGAATAGAATCCGAAACTATTCTTTTTTTTTAATATTTCACCTACGGAAAGTTACATCATATGCGGATGACATAGGCTATATTTTATCCAGAAGAACAGCACAAAAAGAGATGAAAATGGAAGTGGGAGATTGTATGTGGGATTAAAACGTTACCTTTGTCACCATTGTTTACTATTCAATTTATCGTTGTAATTATATACGTGTCATGATATTAATGCTTATCAAAATTTATAATTAAATTATTTAAACTGATTACGCAGATGTAAATATATTTTTTAAATTATGTAAACATTACATTTAGCTCATGTCGCTAGAAGTCGCCACTGTATTTTAAAAAAGGTTTTTTTTTGCGATTTGATCAATTTTGTATCTACAATGCTGTTATATATTTTTAATAAAAAATGCTTAAAAAATCCATCAGCTCCGGTTTGAAAAATTCGTCTCTTCTCATGGCTTTTAGGTAGCTCAGTGGTTATAGCAGTCACCCGGATTATAAAAGGTCGTGGGCTCGAGTCCCACATCGGGAAGCTGGAGCTGGTGGATTTCTTAAGCATTCTTCATTAAAAATAATAAAGCATCTTTAAAATACTTGGGAAAGATTCGACCAAGTGCCAGCAGTCCGAACTTCTAACTCTCTGACTAAAACTGTTGATATAGAAACGTTTCATTGATTTTTAATAAATATTTACTATTGTTGTACAAACAAAACAAGTTATTATTTACAAAATTATCTTTTGGAAAGTTATAAAAAAAATGAAAGACTATTTTAAATACCAATCACGATTGGTCTGTTTCACTGTTGATATGAAGATATCAACAACCTGAAAGATAATTCAAGATGATTCAGGGCTGCATGTACATAGTACTTGAAATTGTCTTTTTTTTCGAGATAAACATAAAAATAAAACTGATAATGTTCCATCGGGGAGGAGGCGATTTTAAGCAAAGATAAATCAATGGTGCATGATCTAGAGCTGCTTCGGACAGTACGAAGGTTTGCGTCTGCAGTTGTTAACCCACCCACAATTTCGCTCTGAGCCCTCGTCATTTATTACGGTCCATTCTCCTTATTCGAGTCTATCCTCAGGGAAACCAGCTTTTCAGCCAATAATAGACCGGTGATGATGTTATTTTAATGGTAACATACAGAAAGACAATGCTCCTGACTCTGGGTTACCTGGACAGCGTAAACTTCTTCATCAACCCAATCTTCGCGAACGAGTACGAGCGGAGAGGATACAATATTATGGTTGTGGACTTCCAAAGATTCGCCACGATGCACTATTTCATGTAAGAAACTAATCGCACTATTATTTATCCATTATGTCTATCTGTTACCTTCGAACTCGACGCCCAGCACTGTTTCACCATAGAGGCTTTAATAAAACAAAACCTATTTCAAAAGATAATAAAGATTTTATTTCACTGAACCTGTATGCTGTGACAGCGTTTTTCTCAACTTCGATATCTATTGCTGGGCAAGCAAAGAAAATCAGTAGCCACAAGATTTTAACAAGTTTTTAACTTCCGTCACACCTTCTCGTAGACGCTCGTCAGTTTTTATTACTCCTGACATTTGATATTTGATCGTGAAAGGTTTGTTTTGATCATTTTCATTTACCGAATATCATCATAAATTAATAAGACCTTTTTTACTCGACTACGACAAAGCGAATAGGAAGATTATGATATTAGCCGGTATATAAGATTCCCTTATAACTTCCACACTACCATCGTAACTAGACAAATGAGGTATCATTATAAGCGTCTTAGTTGTCCGCGTGTTCACATTTATGGAGCATGATTTAGTTAAGTCGGGTTTGAACTCATTTTTATAAGAAAAAAATCCATATATTTTATAATTCGACAACAGATGAGAAAAAGTGATTTACTAAAAACTTCTGCAATCGCACTCCAAGAGCGTAAATTAAGTGATCAAGCTCGTAAAAATTATTTCATTGTATCTCTAATCATTACGTGAATTTTACGACATACATATATTAGAAAATGTTACATGCTTTAGAGTTCATTTTTGCGTGAATATGGAATCTTAAACTAATTTTCTTTGTTCGATATTTTACTGCGCAGAATATTATTCGTTTTCAGATCAGCATGATATGTACAATATCCATTAATTAAAAGTTTTCCGCTACGTCATGTGCCTCCCGGGTATGCTCAGTCTGCACGGAAAATATTTTCAATATAACAGTGTTTGTTATTAAAAGAAAAAATGTATGTCTAATGCTATGAAAAATTTCCGTTGTGATTAAGTAATGTAACATGTTAATTATTATATGTTGTTTGGGGCCTTCATGATCATTTACATTAGAATAATAGTTTTCTACGGGATTGCTACCATGATCAGCTATTCCGTGTTCATGGCGCTTACAAAAGTGCCGAACTCAATAAAAAAAAGTTATTAGCAATACCATAGAAAACTATCATTCTAATGATAATGATAAATCATAAGATTTTATATTTACAGATCCAGTCGACTTATGAGGCCCGTAGGAAAACTTATTGCTGAAGTCTTAGCTGAGCTAACGAAAGAAGGTTTGAACCCTACCAAACTGGAGTTGCTAGGTCTCAGTCTCGGAGGACAAACTATCAGCTTCATAGCAAAAAGTTACCAGCAACTGACTGGCAGAAACGTATCGAAATTAACAGGATTAGATCCCGCCGGTCCCTGCTTCAGACAACTTGGACCGGAAGACAGATTGACGTCATCAGATGCTGACTTCGTCGAAGTAATTCATATGAACATCGATGGGTACGGTATGGCTGCTAGGATGGGCCACGTGGACTTCTACGTGAACGGTGGAGAGTTTCAACCAGGGGATTTGTACTTATTCCCTTGTGCGTCACTCTGCAGTCACAGTAAAGTGTTCTTTCTATGGTTGTCTGCTATGAAAAATCCTGATAAATTCGTTGCTATCAAATGTGACAGCATCCAGCAAGCAAGAGATGCCGAGTGCTACGATCGAGAGCCTAGGGAGACTAATCTGTTAGGTCCGAAGGTCAACAGAAGCGTCCATGGTATCTTTTACTTGTCTACCACCCGAGGATACCCGTATTACTTAGGTACGAAAGGTCTAGATCCTGCTCATGTTGCTTGGAAGCATTACAGTGAATTGAATTCCCGTGACAACGAAGAATTTCATGTCTAGCATATTTTTTACCACAAACATAGCTTTTATCTTTCTTTGTCTATGTAAAGATTTTAATACACAAAGATTTTTGGTAGTTTGCGAATCTTAACAGTTCTTATTTTTGTGATCAAAAAAGTTTATGTGCAGCATTAAAATGACTTCTGACGAATTTATTTCATACTTTATACGAGTACATTCAAATTCAACACTCTATCTATACTATTAGGTTGGGGAAAAGCCTTTTCGCAAATAGTATGCATAAACTTGTAATAAAATCTTTTTGGATATACCATTTTTATCTGCTTAAATTCTAAACAAACTCCGGAACTCCGAATTCAAATTAGAAAAATATGTGTTTGTCATTCGTTTCCTACCCACATGATGGCAAAAAGTTATCGAACAAAATGATACCTACACACTTTAGTTAAATGTAAATAAACTTATTTAAAAAATGTATTTTTAAATAAAATGCGAAGAAACTTTTTCTCCAACCTATTAATATTATAAAGAGGAAAGATTTTATTTTTTTATTTGTATCTTTGTTTGTTTGTATTTGCCTCGAAAATACTGGACCGATTTTAAGTCTTTTTCACCTACGGGTAGCTACATCATCAAAACAGTAATAAAATTTTGTATCCAAAATTTACTATATGACTCTCTTTATAATTCCTTGTATCCCGATCCCACTTCAACATATAAGACTGACTGGGATGAATTAGTCGATCAATCTGTAAAGTCAAAGTCAAAATAATCAAAGTTAAACAAATAATTGATAAATTCGACCGATCGATTTAACGTTGATAAATCCCCATGGGGATAAAATAAGGGATGATGGAGGATGTAAATGTATTAGTTTGAATCAAATGGAACGAATAAATAAATATTCGTTAGAAATGCTGCTCAAAGTAACTTTACCACGCAGACGAAAGCTAGTACATTATAAATAGAGGCTAGTACATTATAAAAGCTAATACATTATAAATAGAGAGAAAAAAAAACTATGGTCTTATAATGATAACATAATCATTTAATAATAATGGAAACAAGTTTAGAAGTAATCACCTACCCAGTTGTTGGTTCATCTCAAGTCCAAGCGTTCTTATCTGTTATATAATCAGATACCTTATAATAAGCTTTTTAATAAGTATTTTTTTAATAGTAGATTAAAACTGCATGATATCTAATTGTTGTATTTTGCTTGGGACCTTATTGTAGAAGCGCACACAAAGACCCTTGAATGAGTTATTAACTTTATGCAGTCTAGTGACAGGAACCGTTAATTTATTTTTATTTATTGTATTAAAATTGTATACATCACTTTTTATAAAAAACAAACTAATATTTTTACGAACGTATGTACACTAAGTTCTCGTATATGTATTGAGAAGCAACAGTCATTAAGTCTATTTCCTTAAATTGCTCCCTTAAAGAATCATTAATCCTAAGATTATAAATTGATCTAATTGCTTTTTTCTGAAGCACAAAAATTGTTTGTATATCGGCAGCATTTCCCCACAATAGGATTCCGTACGACATTACACTATGAGAGTAACTGAAGTATACTAATCTGGCAGTATCTATGTCAGTTAACCTAGGTATTTTCATTACGGTATATGCAGAGCTAAGACTCGACAACTTATCAATATGTGGGCCCCACTGTAGTTTAGAATCTAATGTTATTCCTAAAACTACTGTGGTATCCACAAGGCCCATGTTCTTATCTTTTATATCTACTTTTTTAACATTAGGTAGTACAAAGTTTAAGCATTTTGTTTTTTCTTCAATAAGAAGAAGATTTTTTAGATTAAACCAATGTACTATTTTAGCGATAGAATTGTTCACATCGTCATTTAGAGGTAGCCCTCTTCAAACAAAACTATTTCGTGATCGTCCCTTACGAATTAAGGCAAGTCATTTATATAAATTAAAAACATTAAAGGACCAAGTATTAAGCCCTGCGGAACACCCATTTTAACTTTCTATCCAGGGGATCTTTTGCCATTGATATCAACCCTCTGTACTCTGTCAGTTATGAGATAATAAAATTCAATGAGTTATCTCTAAATCCATAAAAATTAAGTTTCCTAATCAATGTTTCATGAAAAACACAATCAAATGCCTTAGATAGGTCACAGAAAACACCTAACGCATCATGTGAATCCTCCCAGGCATTAAAATTTTCTTGTATTAACTCTACACTGGCTTCGGTTGTTGAGCGACCCCTTGTAAAACCAAATTGTTGTCGATTCATAAGCTTAGTCTGGTAAAAGTATGTTTGTATTTGGTCCAGCATGATTTTTTCAAAAATCTTACTAAATGTAGGTAGCACGGATAAGTAAGTAGGGTTAGATGTGCTACCAAATTTATGTAAAGGAATAATTTAACTATATTTCATGAGCTCAGGAAAAATACCACAATCAGTACATTCATTAAATATATAAGCTAGGATTGGAGCTATTTTCTCAATTACCGATTTAGAAACTTCAATTGAATTACCCCATAAATCAGCGGTTTTCTTTTTCTTTAACTGATTAAAAGATTTTATTATATCGTTAAAATCAATGTGTTGAAATTGAAATTGGCTATTACAATTATTTAAAGTTGCCTTTGAAATAGAATCAGCAACAGTGGAAGAGGAATTCGAAGATTGTGTCATTAAGACTGGAATTTCAGTAAATAAATTTTCAAATACTGTAGCAACTTCAAGATCTGATGTTATTTTTTTATTATCAATGTTTAAATGAAAATTTATATTCCGGTATTTTTCTCTTCCAGTTTCACTATTTATAAAATTCCACGTCATTTTAACTTTATCTTTACTATTTTTAATTGTTGCATTGTAATAATTATATTTAGCTAAACAACACACTTTTTTAAATAATTTAGAGTAATTTCGTACATATTCTTTGAAGTCCTCACTTGTGTTATAATTACGTTCATCATATAGTTCATAGAGCCTTTTTCTGCTTTTGTAGATTCCTGGTGTAGCCCACACACTAAAAGTTATAGGATTACTAATACTAATTTTTTTTGGGACAAAAATGTTATTGAATTCTGTACAATAAACATCAAAGAAATCTTTGTATAAATCTTTGGGATTACTTTTATGTTTCAAATTATACAATTTGCTATATAAATTGATTTTTAAAACGTTCGAAGCGACTCATACTTTTTGACACAACTATAATGTCTATCCTAGCTACAAACGTGCATTTATGCGGAAAGCTAACTGATCTGACGGTAGTTGTTTAATAATGACGGTAATTTTGAAAGTGGTACCAGATCTGTAAAAATATTATCAATACTTGTGGACGAAGTAGCAGATACTCTAGTAGGCTCCTTAAACATGTGTGCAAGATTATAGGACATAAATAGATTTACAAGTCTTGTACATGAATTGGAGTTTCCTAATAAATCAACGTTAAAATCACCCCTAATCACTAATCGTTTGCCTTTGCTATATACCTTTTTTAAAGCTTAATCTATAACTATTTCAAAAAGATGATAATGAGAAACTAAACTTGAAGGAAGTCTATATACGCTCAGTACAATCAGCTGATCCAGCTCTATGCAGGCAATTTCTATTATTTCCTCAACCGATAAGCTCACTATATCTCTACGTTCTTTAAATTAAAACTTTTTATTTAATAAAATTAGTGCGCCACCACGGACTGCGTTTTTCCTAATGAACGAGCTACCAACCAGCCCAAGTAGCACAGAACTGCATTATAAATGTTCACATTAGGCCCACAACGTTAATATACGCACTTATACAGTCTTAGTAGAGTTCACCCGGGCTACAACAGCTGTTTAGAAAAAAACATGGTTCTCTCTAACGCTTTCTCCTGTACTATAAATCTATTAAACATCACAGACACACCACAGATATCACTATTATTCAGCGTTGAGTGGTACAGTACTCTATCAGCTGCAAAAGCGTATGTTTATGAACACAAATAATGCAGTTTTCTGAATAAAATCCCACACGTTACTTTTAAAACGGTACATTAAAAGAGAGAACATATGAACTACTATTAAGTCTTATTACTGACAGTCATATCAATAGAAGAGTGCTCAATAGGAACAATCTGGCTAGCCAAATTTTGGCTGTTATAGAAAAAAAATATGATAGCGAAATAGCTATCTGTCTCTTATAATAATTGTAAAATAATAATAATTTGTTTTCAACGAAATTCAGAAAAAAATCGAATCATATTGTTATAACCATATCCGTGAAGAATGTCTGTGATCAGCGGCAACGTTAGCGTTGCATTATAAATGATCAACAAATGCATTTCATTGGAATATCATTTCGAAAATAGACGTAATTTTCGTTTCGGGAATAGAATAGGTCTTCAGGTGTATTCAGTTCGCATCACTTTCTGGACGAGAAGCAGCATAAAACGGTATGAATACTCTTATTATGATGTGCTATTTATTGTTCTACCAAATAATGTTAACCTTCAGTGTTTATCGTAGCGGGCAGTCATTACTAAAAACGTAGTTTATTACGCAACCTAAACCATTTCGTTTCAAATTACGTTAAGATAATCACTATGGACCAAACCAAGCCTTGGCATTCCTGCACGCTGCTTGTGAACATCCAGCAAAGTTATCACGATATTTCACATCGGTTTCATTTCACAAAATTTTATAAAACATCAAACATATAAAACTTGTTAAAATGTAATTATATAAGAATAGAGAAACAAAATAAGTAAGTCGTCTAAAGACCAAGGGTTACATTTCATTCGTAATTATAAAGTTTTGATTGATTTGCGTTTTAATCCGAAAATATAAATAATGTGTCATAAAAAGAAAAAGTTAATATTCCGATTGCAAATTGTGAAAAAGATCTGTCAAAGATTATGTAAGTAACAGAACGGACAATTCGACTTTAGTGCATACGCTCTACCTTACATTTATTTGAAAATTATGAGACTGAAACTCTGAAATTCCGGGTTTTGAATTCGTAGCATGAAAACGTATTTCCGTAGCTAAAAAATACTCCGACATATATATTATCAGTGTCAACTTTATTTTATCGCTTGAAAAGCTTTATTATTTCTTCAAGGGCAAATAATATATACACTAACGATAAGGAGATAATAATGTTAGACATCAACATTTTTAAGTTGAATTGTTGATCGAAGTCTTGAACTCGTTTAGGTAAAAGTGGGCATTTAATCATTATATGTCTGGTCTGTGACATGTTCAATTATAGTCTATGAATAATGGTAGAGTATTGTGCCATGTACGTGTGTATATGCTGCGGATAATTTTTGCATCGCATTAGTACTGACATAACCTATCTATCCTTTTTTATTGTAATATCATTGGTTCTATAAGTAATTTTAATAATATTAACATACGAACTGTTTTCATATTCATTTTTTGTTTATACAGTTTTTTGTTTACATCACAAATACATATACCTAGTTATCAAGCCTATTCAGCTGTTCCATTTACTACCAACACCTAAGCACAGAACCCGTCACAGTGTGTAATATTAGAAAAATAATTTTGAGATAGTACCTATTAATCCTTTCACCATTCGTAAAATACTTATTAACTCTACCTAAATGAAATTCAAAGTCAAATCTAGGGCCTAAATTACGTCCCGATTGAACGCAGAACTTTTGACTCAACCCATCAAACACTTTTATATATCACCTCTGGGCAGATTTGCAGGCTTGACCGCCTTAGGCTATGTACTCGTAGTACTAGCTGTCACTGGTAGTGGCTGTAGCTAGGCTATGTAGCACAATTAGACACTGATATCATCGAGTGTATTGTATATCATTATTGGACGCTCCTGATCTGGGCTCCCTGAGCCCGGGTGTACTGTAGCTTTAGGGTAAATACCCCGCTATCACCCCACCCCATTCAGTACGTCTCATCAATAAAAAAAATCCATATCAATTAAATTTTACTGTGTATCAAAGATTAAATAAAAAATTGCCGACGTCTTAACGGTTTTAACAAAAAGTTTTTATTGTTCAGTAAAAGGTAATGTGAACATGCCATTGTTTTTAAATTGGCTAAGCATATTGGGTGTACAGTAATTTATGCGATACTGAGGTATGCCTTGGAGATTTTTACTGCATAACAGCAACTGAATTATCGTTCACGCTCAAGATCTTTTCCTTAACCTTATGCTTAAAAAGCATTAAGCTTACTGTTGAGGAGAAAAAATACATAATCCCAAGTTCTTTATAAAAGCATGAACTTTGTATTATGATCCTAGATCAATAGCAAATTACATAATCAACAACTTCATTGAATAGTTTTTTTTTGTATAATATGGCAGGCACGGCTTGTGCATTTTGCTCATTGAATAGTTATAACACTATTTATCGGTTTTTTTTTTTTTTAATTCTGTCATTGAACTTGAGTTTACCAAATGTACGTTTATTCCCTCCATATTTGTAAAACGTCCCTTTCGCCTGCATAATGTCCGCTCAAAACAATAGTTAGATTGTAGCCGCCTTGGCGCATGGTCATTGCACCTACCTAAGCTGATAAAAAAGTTTGCATTCATTATCTTTTTGTTCTTAGAGAATAAAGAGATTTCCTAAATTTGACGGCAAAATTGTCATCTTCCTGTTTATCAAAAATGTTTTCTTAAATTCAAATTATATTCCGCAAAGGCAATATGATAATTCAGCCAACTTAATTATTTTATATAGTAATTTTTTATTGTAAATCATGAGTGTTAATTATTATTTAAACCTGTTTTTGAGTATATGTTCAATAATATCAGGCTTGTGTGACAGTAGCGACCCAAGAAGCGAACAAGGATATCCCACAGGACTCATGTCAGTATGTATGTGCAATTTTAAGGTATTTTATTAATGTCAAAAATTTTAAAAATATAATAGTATATTGAAAAAATGCCAACGAAATGTTTTCTTCTTCATCATATCTTTTTTATTTTTATCTTCGAGGTTAGCAGGTTAAAGAAAACGGGAAAAAACCGTGAACACAATGTTAAATTTTCTTGCACTGACTACAAATCTTTCCTGTAAATCAAATTATCATCGCTTTGCACTTAAAAAAAAAATTGTACCACAAAATAGGATACCAGACATATATAGGGTTGTCATCTCTCCGGTTTTAGCTATTTTTTGGTAGTGGCCATCTAAATATATAAATGTCCGACTTTTTTAGGCTCTGTTGTTTAACGAATACGGCTTGATGTGTAATTAATAAATAACTGTTTTTAATTTAAAACTTAAAAGCTTTTTCTCTTCAAACTTTCAACATGTAAGATGATCGTGATATACTACTATACCCACTATTTACCACCAATTTCTATAAAAAAAAACTTACTGTAACAATTAAAAAATGTGTTATTTTTTGTCAAAATCATAACTTTAAATTTACACATTTTCTTGACTTAACGTTATGACATAGTTTAAAGTTTTCATTTATTCATTTACATTAATTGACTGGTTTTGTAATATATGAACGTTATGATGCGGGTAATTAACATTTCCAATACTAGTACAAGAAGATTATATATAGATACATACTAAATCTATTAACATATAATAAGGGTAAATATCAATAAACAGTAGTGACATTTACCCTGATCATTTATTATATTTATATTAAATCAGTATATTTGAGGAGCTCAATGATTTAATGATTAGCGCCTTCTGATGTTATGATCTACGATGCGGAAGTTAAGCAACTTCCGCAAAGGCCGCTAATAGGATGGGTGATCAAAAATTTATAATCTTAAACACATCCTTGCTTCGGATCGGAGGCACGATAAGCCGTTGATCCCGGCTGCTGCACGATAGCCGTTGATCTGCATTAGTTAACACCCACCATTGGTGGGTGGTGGGTCATTCGATTTGATTCGACTTCATCTATGCGTCACTTCTGAACTGATGTGTACTGCACTGCTGTAGCGGAAGGCCTGTGCTACAGCAGTGCAGTAGAGACAGTAGAGACATTATAAGCTTATAAAGTACAGTGTGCAGTGTCTACATGTGTACAGTGTGCAGTACGGTGGAGACATTATAAGCTTATGAAGTACAGTGTGCAGTGTGTACATGTGTACAGTGTGCAGTACAGTGGAGACATTATTAGACTTATGGATCTGTTGATGGTGATATTTGAATTTACGTTTACGAAAATCAATTTTATTACACCTATAAGCATTACACAAACGTTAAAAATTACGTTTACAAAATATATTTTTATATTTTTGTAAAACTTTCTGTAAACTGTTAAAGAATAAAATTAAATGTACTTTGACAAACTACAATTCAATATATTGAAAATTTCTTTAAAATATGTGCTGTTGAAGGTGACATTCTGAAATATCAAATTTTTGAAGACTTGCAAATTTTTATCCGCTTAGACTAGTAGTTGAAAGAATTTTCAAAATCGATCCAGTTGTTTCGGAAACTATGATGCAATAAAAAAACTAACTAGGTATCATGTCTTTCCTCTTTATAAAATTAAGTTACCAATAAATACCAGACTTTAAAATCTATTTGAATTAACCTATCAATACATTAACGCAATGCAAATTTTTTAAATTAAAACGGTTTTTGTATGTTTGACCACACATTTCAACTCGAATATATTGTATATTTATCACTAGCGATATCAATTAAGTTATAGATGATTTTTAGCTTAATTAGCACCGTATATATACTCAAGCTATGGTAACCGTTAGACTATTTTATTGTACCATTCGCAACGGCAAAACCACCGTCTATATGTACTATGGTTGTCAAATTCAATTAAAAGAAATCTAAACAAATACAGTATTCATAGACCGATTTATTAACAAACTAGCTTTCCGCCAGCGGCTACACCCGCATGGTTCATAGGATACTGTTCATTTGGATATCGATTCAAATCATGACATGAATATGATTACAATTACAAATTGAATTGTAAACAATGGTTACTATGGTAACGTTGTAATTCCCTTTACAAATTTCCATTTTCATCCCTCTATTTGCTGTTTCAGGATAAACTAAAGCCGGTCGTAAATTCGTTGCAAACTAACAACCAAACCTTACTTCTAAACAAATAACACGGCAGAGCACCCAAAAACTAATATAAAGTGATTTGCAGACTTTTATTTAATTTGGAGAGCGACGATCTCGAGTTCGATGTTGTGACGTTACAGGCAGACAGATATTCCGTGCAGAACTGATTCTTATTTATTTTAGTTTTGACCTATATTTTTATTATATTGTTTACTTTCGACTGATTTAGCTTAGATTTTCACAATCGCTATACAATTGAAAGGTACTTTGATAGTTTTTTAAATAAGATAATTAGCCTAGGAGCGTTGGAAATGGTGAAGAATCCAAGAAAACATAGATAAGCACACTAACTTATAAATATAACCCGTACGTAAAAAAATGTCGTCATGTCATGAACTTGAATTATATCCCTATTGAATACAGAAGTGCAGAGTTCTGATTATATCTCTCGATTTTAAGATCCCGATTTCATCGGTGAATCCAATATGGAACTTGGATCTCAGTTTTATTGTTTAGTAAGGAGTGAGGCTCGAAAGGGGCGAGGGGGTTCGTCAAAAATCACGAAATATCACAAGGGGTAATATATCACGTTTATTTATATTTTCCTCGGACACGCGATTACTAAACTGAACAGCGATGTGAAAAATTAAGATTTTTTGAGGGTACAAAATAAAAGCGTGATTTGGGTTGAGGGGAGGTGGTATTAAGCCTTATATGAAAAACCATCACGTGATTAATGTACGGCCCCTTATGTTTCTGATGGGATATTTTCTAAACAATCTGCCGTAGATCTTTCCTGACAACCCTAGGATGTAACACAAGATACAGCCTGATATTAAAGCAGATTGCATCACAATGCAAGGCAAATTAAGTAACACCATAGAGCCGAGTAGAGTTATACTTATTTCGTAACATGTCATACATATAAACAAATGAATGAAAACACTTAAAGAAAATAGACATTTGTCACGGAAAATTACTAATCAAGAATTTGTATTTAATCAATAAATGCATTGATTATACCATGCAGCAATTTTAAAAATATATTTATTATTTCAACTTTTTTATGTAACAGAGCAACTGTTTATTTACACCTCAGACCATAAAATTAGAGAAGAGAAAGAATATAAAGTCAAAAATTGCTAGCTAATTTTTTATGAGAAAGTTGCTTAGTAACAACTGTCGCAGGCCGCAGCGCTAATCCACTACAACGCCGAGCTACTCATTGCATTCATATTATATTTAGACAAGCTACAAGACCAATTAAATTATTACATTCAAGATTGCATTATTTCATTCACAGAATACAGAAAGACCTTTTTCTCTGTTATATGATTTCATTTGAGCTTTATAACCCGTGCAACGTACGACATATTTTTTCCCTTTTTGTTATTGGACAAATGGATTATGCATTCTCCGTTGGCTTTGGAAATGGTGTTGTGACATGAAATTATCCATGAACGATCACGATGATCTGTACCTACCATGAGACCTGTGGGTCTTATCACTAGCCCCTAGGTGGAGTCGTTGATTTCAACCACACTAGGTTTGTGATGTTCGAGTATTATTAAATTATTGAATACTAGCTTTCGCCAGCGGCTTCGCCTGCGTGGACCCTAGGGAAATGTTTAGTGGAATAAACAGTATCCTATTTCCTATCTAGTCAGCTAATACCCTATATGTATACCAAATTTCATCAAAATCCGTTCAGTAGTTTCGGCGTGATTGACGGACAAACATCCAAACATCTAAACATCCAAACAAAGAAACTTTTACATTTATAATATTAATAGGATTATGTATTGCGAACTTTCAAAATTCAATAAGTGTCTCATTGAAATATAATAGGTCAATACGCGTCGGAGCATCCGTTGAGTGCTCAAGGTAGGTATAACTTTTCAGCCCCTTAAATCTATTGCAATCGCTTTCAGTTTGAAAGGTGTTGCATAACCATTGCTGCATAATACAAATACTTTTTTTTCAACTGTCTTCAGAAACAAGCAATGGTTGTGTAACATCTTTCAAACTGAAAGCGATTGCCATAGATTTAAAATTAGACAATTAGGGGGCAGTTCTGACGTTCCGCAACCGACAACACGCGATGCATCTTCCGTCCAATATGCACCTCTTGATACGTGGGCCATTTACAAGAGGCCAGTAGCAAGATAGTCCAGTATTCGCCTAGTGTAAATGGAGACAATCATCAAGCCAGTCCAGTGATATAGAACGGTTGCTAATTTTACTGGACTGGCTTCCAATCTAAAGTTTTAATTTTTAATATATAAAAAATTTTCGTGTTGTTGATATGACAGATTTAAATAAAACTCTTGTAAATGAATCTCTACTACTTTCATAATTCATATCACAAATAATATAGCCCCAACTCGTTTTGACTACTGATTCAATAGACAAGCCATTACTGCGATTGATACTAACTATCTATTGTGTTAGATTACTATCAGCAACAATTATAGCAATCTTATGGAGAACTGCCAAGGACATTCATATTATGATGCCAAAGTACAGGTTTCATTCATTTGAACAGATTTATGGATTGTTAATAAAATAAATACTCGTGAACTGAGGATGGTAAAGCTGGTTTAACAAGTTTTGCAGAAGTTCATTGCAATAAACAAGTGCACAACTACAATATTTAGACATTTCCATATTCTACCACACCTGAAAAATATGCGTGCACCACCCGCAAACTTATATTATATAATATCTAATCAAAGCCCGCATGCTACTACATTACATTGTGCACCATCCTTAAACTTAGATTATATAATATCTAATTTAAGCCCGCGTGCAGGTACATTACATTGTGCACAAGCCGCAAAATTCTTGGATTTAAAATGTTGTTTTGTTGCTCAAGTCTATAAGACAACAAAGGCATCTAATTACAACTATGTAACATTAATTAGATACCTTGAAGTATGGTGATCAAAAAATTATTATCTCGAACTCCTCCGTACTTTGGAAGGCATGGACGAAGGCCCGGCTGCATCTGCAGTCGTTAACACCCACCAATCCGCACTGGGATCGCGTGGTGAGTAACAGCCAATTCTTCCTTTTCAACTCCTTCCATACGGAAGATCACCACAATAATCAAGTGATAATGATAATCAAGTGTATTGAAAAGACCTTACACATAAACAAGCAGACGCAGATCCAGCCCCCAAAAACAGTCGTGGCCAGGTTCGTGAACTTACTCGTTTCGATGTACTTGCATTAAATTCTCACAAAATATAGGTATATGGTATATGTTTGTGTCATAATTTCGCGTGGGCAATCGACCTCGATAGACCGTGAAAATGTGATGTCACAAGTCTAATAAGGTAGTGGGCTTTCCCACTGTGCCTGCAATGGTGGATCGGCGCTTGTAAATAAGTATAATTGGTAGGAATCGCATGAAGGCATACAAAACAAACAGTTACGGGGACATGATGCAATATGAAGAACGAAAGGAGAGCTCAAAATCACCTGACCATGTATAGAAAATTATACAGTACCTTATAGTACCTATGTTCACTTTAAACATTCCGGATTGAATGTAGCTTTTAAAGTCGGCAACAATGCTCTCTTTTCATCATAAATTGTTCCTTAGTCTTACAACTAGTGTTGCCAGGTCCAATTTATTATTAATCGGGACAGCGTGTGCAATTAATCGGAATTTGGAGTTGTAAATCGGGACAGACAAAAAAACAAGTATTAGTACTAGTTTGGTAGCTTTTTTGCTTTCAGACATAGATAAATATAATTAAGGGCTTTCAAAAATGTATTTGACCGTATGAAAAAAAAAAATTATAAAAATTACTTGATTTTTCGGGACATTTTGAGCCGCGGACGCGTCCCGATTTTTACCTAATCGGGACGCGTCCGCGGACCCCTGAAAATCGGGACGTCCCGCGTAAATCGGGACACCTGGCAACACTACTTAAAACCAAGTTTTCTTCTTGACTATTGAATAAGATATTTCAATATAGGTACCACAAAATATACCAAACTAACTTCCCGCCAGAGGTTTCACCCGCGTCGTCTTGTATTATACATATATAAACCTTCCTCTTGATATTAAAGAAAACCGCATTAAATTTTTTGTATAGTTTAAAAGATCTCAGCGTACATACAACAGGAAGCGACATTTTTCTATGTATCTAAAGATAATAAGAAGCGAAATTTTCCGATATAATACACATAGCTTGTTTATATGCACATTTCAGAATCACATTCAAAAATAATAGAAAACCAATAGTTTATTAATTCAACTATTTATCTAACTCTATATTTTACCATTAATATATTTACTTATATATTTTTATTTATTACTATTTATTTATATATTTGACTATGATGGGCTAAGCCCACGTAAATTGTAGCCTATGTACCCGCGTATAATGCAGTTAACCCGTAGGTGAAAGTATTTCATTAATATGTAATATCTATTTTAATATCTTAAAGATATTAATATAGATATTACATTGAGAATCAAGTATTTAGATTTTACAACTAATTTATATTTAATTAAAGTAGGTAAAAAATACAATGCCGAATCATAAAATTTCCAGGTCCAGGATCAACCAAACCTGCCAGAATTCCTCGAAGCCAACTCAAGTACTTGCTCTTCGTAGTTCAAGGTCTTGGTCAATCGAGGAAGAAATACACTTACTGGGCTGCTAGGAGCATTGCTAAAGACCCGAGGATCAATTTTCAAAGGTATCTCAATTTATTGACTTTTTGTGCAGAAATCTTCAAAATACCTGTAATCCAAAGAGCCTATTCCATTGGTTGTCGAACAGAACTCGGAAAATTTCAAATATCCGTGAAAATTATCTGAGCATCAGGGGCAGTGTCAGGTCCTACCTTTGTTGCATCTTCGATTATCGAAAAATTAGTTTCTTTAAAGTCATATTAGCATTTTGAATATAGACGAAAATTCATTTTTATATAAATGAAATAGGTCTTCAAGTGGAAATCGTTCACATCTTTGACTTGCCGTCTGCCCGCAATTAAATCCTACTTATTGGCTATAGCTGAAACAATAACGCAAAAAGTTTATAAAAAAAAGTTAATCGAAAACTGAAATCTACACTAAATTCTTTAAATAAAACGATAACGTAGTTCATTTTTAAGAATAAACGCTCAATAGCAAAGCTTAAAGTTCTTTCTTAATTTATTTTAAAACTCAACCTTGATCAAAACAAAGCTATGTATAAATTATTTAACACCATCTAGTACAGCTCAAAATATATGAATTGTCTTTTCTTTCGTATATAAATCATTTTGGTAATGACATGATTTATGTAAATGTCATTACTTATTATGATAAAGAGCCGGTAAGTTTCTTTCGCTTGATCTTCTTGTCAGCTAAAAGACGTCCTAAACAAGTGGTAGGGGACAAAAGTTTTTGGACGATTCAAAAGTGCCTAAATAAGCCTTGAATAAAGATATGTTCATTTCATTAATATTATTTGTGCTTGAATATTTTAAAAATTTTAATTTAAATGTTATTTTAGTTATAATTTATGTACTCAAATATCTATTTTCATCATTATTTATGGAAATCTCTATTTGCAATGACAAATTAAATAATAAACAATACTCGTTGTTGCTATGGTAACATTTTGATTCCCCATTAAGACTTCCACTCCCATTTTCATCCCGTTAAGTGCTGATTTTCGGGATAAAATATAACCTATTACCTTCTTTGGATCATAAACTACTGAAATACCTATTTTTATCGATGTCAGTTCAAAAACAAAGAAGTTCCATACAAAAAAATTCACCTTTTTTGATCCCCTTAGGAGTGGAATTTTCAAAGATCCCTTCTTAGTACACGAAATCTACGATATGAGACGATCTGCCCTCTCGATTTCAAGACATCTTTTATATATATATATGTATTTCTATAGACTTGTCTTTTATAATACAAACCGTCTTTTATAATTTTGTATAAAGACCAATTTATAATAGAACCATTATTTTTGCTTTGTGTTATCAGGAAGACACTTCTTCTTGCATTGGGCTACCTGGACAGCACCAACTTTCCTATTTCTTCGATGCTCGCGAACGAATATGAAGCGAGGGATTACAACGTCATCATGGTTGACTACCAGCGCTTTGCCACCGTTCATTACTACTTGTAAGAATTCATCGAGCTATTCTCATAATGTTAACTGTATGTATATCTTACCATATGCTGTAGACCCGTGGACTTAAATTGAATATAAGAGCACTTAGTTAGAATTTAAAGACAACTGTATAAAGTTCAAGTATAGGAGTTACAAACTCCTACAAGAAAATTTACTTCAATAAATGAGATAAAAGTTTCTTCTCTCTAAGTTTATTTGGATAAAGCCCTTTTCAATATGTTACATTATTAAAGTTGACTGGTTAAAAAACCGGGTTAGTACGAGTCAGACTCGAATATGAAGCGATGGTACAGAACCCTTAGTAATCCCTATCCATGAAAAACGCAAAAATCACATTTGTTTTATACGATATTACGATATACCTTTAAATATTTATTTAATTCTGTTTTTAGTATTTTTTGTTAAAGCAGCACCAGAAATACATTGTCTGTAAAAATATACAACTTTTTTACTATCTTCGTGGTTAATGAGATACAGCCTGATAACAGACGGATGGACAGCGGAATCTTAATAATAGGGTACTTTTTACAGTGTTGTTTGAAATTAAAATATGTAAAAATCCTGATATTTCTCATCTTATGTCTTTAAATCCTTATAAATGTAGGAAGACAACAATTTAAAAAGTTAGTCCTCTTGCAACTCTAATGCTTGCTCTCGATCTACTTCAGCAAGTTGTCCTGCTTGCTAGAAGAAGAAATTGCTTCTCAAAGCAACTTCTACTTCACCTGTGTTTTACTATTTACTTTATAAGAAAACCTTTTATTTTCTCTTCTGCAGAGCTAGCCGTCTGATGCGTCCTGTAGGGAAGCACATCGCAGAAGTGTTAACACAACTCACTGAATTAGGGCTGAACGCTTCAAAAATAGAATTACTCGGATTCAGTCTCGGTGGACAAACCGTCAGTTACATCGCCAAGAACTTTCAAAGATTCACCGGCAGAAATATCTCTAAGATAACAGCATTGGAACCATCAGGGCCTTGTTTTCGTACCCTTGCACCTAACGACAGATTAGACGCATCCAACGCAGACTTCGTTGAAGTTATCCATACCAATATTGATGGTTACGGGATGGCAGCCAGGATGGGTCACGTTGATATTTTCGTTAACGGTGGAGAATATCAACCTTCAGAGTTGCTATTATACCCCTGCACTTCCACTTGCAGCCATTTTAGAGTGCTAGCACTTTGGGTATCTGCATTAAAAAATCCAGGCAAGTTCATTGCAATCAAATGTGATAGCATACAACAAGCGAGAGACGCCAAATGTTACGAGAGACTTCCTACAGAAACTAATTTGATGGGCCTTAAAACAAATAGGAGTAATCACGGCATATTCTATTTGTCTACAAGCAAAGGCTATCCTTATTACTTGGGTCCAAATGGCCTAAATTCAGAATATGCGTCGTGGAAACAAATTAGCTATGTTAATGATAATGATGACGACGAAATTTATACATAGAAAATTAACAAATAGATATTAAAATTTATTATTTTTTGTTGTTTTTCTCAACCATTATATATGTTGACTTATAAGTGACCGTCAGGCTGGCAACTTCACCCTCTCGGATTTTGAAGTGAATTTTTGACCCATTAATAAGTATATATTTATAATGAAAAATGCTTAAAAATCTACTTTGTCCATGATACTCTGAAATGGGATCCGGGCGGCTGCTCTAACCACTGAGCTAACGGATAATGCTCAGTGCTCAGTGACATTAGCCTAGCAGCGCCACCGCTATAATTCTGTATTTATAATGAATTAAAAAAAAAACATAATTATCAGTTTGGTACATATGCGGCGACAAACAATTAAACACTTTACGAGATAACTAAGAAACAATGTGGCGCAACTGGGCTGACGTAAGTCTGATAGCTCCACAGCATATCTTATAAACTAAGACACTTTCATAGAGAATGGACACTTAGAAGCTCATTCTTTTAAAACATCAAGTTATTTTATCAAGCAATTTGACATCTTTTCATTCTATTCACCACACCAAATTACACAAATGGTCTCAATAACTACAAAGTATTTTACCACTATGACTATTCATATCAAAACATTTAATCTATATAGTCTCCTAACATTGTGACGAAAATATTTTCATGACATTCTAAAACATAATAAAAAAAGAAATAATTATGGATCAAAGTCAAATGCCTGCCGAGTTGTGTTATGGTATGAGTGTGTTAGCTATGATTTCATAGAATTCGATTATGACTACGCTTGCTTTACACAGGATTATAAACTAACTTGTAATACTGGAAGAATTCCCAAGTATGATATGTTATAGGTTGTTCGTGTTTATAATTTTCGAATTTATTCTTATATTGCATTAATTTTTAAATATTTTATTAAATTACTAGCTTTTGCCCACAACTTCGCCCGCGTGGTAAAGTTACTTTGAGCAGCATTTCTAACGAATATTTATTCATTATATCGTGTAAAATACCTGAAATAAACTTTCATCCCCCATTTAATCCCATTTATCAAAATCCTTTCTTTCGCCTACGTCATAACATCTACCTGCATACCAAATTTTAGCCCGATCGGTTTAAAATTGACAAAGTTTCATACAAACTTTCATCCCCTATTTTATCCCCTTGGAGGTAGAATTGTTCAAAATCCTTTCTTAGCGGATGCCTACGTCATAACATCTACCCGCATGCCTAATTTCAGCCCGATCCGTCCAGTGGTTTGAGCTGTGCGTTGATAGATCACTATGTCAGTCAGTCACCTTTGAGTTATATATATTTTATTATTTACTTTCCTCGTTCGTTAAATTACAATACTCTCATTCTTTGTATTTTGATTAAACAATATACTATAGTACCACTATGTACATTAAGGTGTCCTGTCCATGTATGGGAAAGATATAATTTCTAGATACGGTTACGCAAGAGGTGTCAAAAGTTGAGTGTCAACATACATATTACGATTATCTTAAAATTTAACTAGATATCTGTGATCTTGGAATCTCTGCCGGTCCTTAATTTTTATTCAGATTTTCCTTTTTTAGGGGTTCCTAACATAAACTATAAATCAAATTAACATACACTATGAACAAAAATAAAATTGAAATGGTTATTATTAAATTTATGGGTACAATAAAGAGTCAAAGCGAGGTTTGAAATATATGAAAGACAAGTAACGAGTGGCTATTAAAAAAAAAACGGATCTGGTTTTTTTGCCCAAAATTAGGCATTTCCGCGCGAGACATTAAATCTGTTCCTAATGAACCTAATGCTTTGAGAAGCTTCCGTCACTACTTTCATACATATTTCCACTGCCTGTGTGTGACAGGGGAAGTCAACAATGTCATGGTTGTGTTCTTTAGCCTTCATTCTAAGGTCATCGTTAGAGATGTGTCGCAAAATTGGTGGAGCCGATATCTCACACTCTTGCCAAAATATTTTATTAATGTAATCTTTTGCACAGAAGTTAAGTTTTGATGTTTTAAATACCCTGCGAGAGCTACTCTTTTCTGCTTCTCTGGCCTTTAATATTTTGCGAGATGCCATTTCTCGAATGTGGTCTCTATAGTCGAGTAACATGGCACTAAGCAGGTTTTCTGGGTGCACAAAAAGCGTTTCTTTCGACCACTGAATTTATAATAGATATCTGACTATCAGGCAAAAATCGAGAGTGCACAATCATTTTAAAAATATGCTTGGCTCCATCTTTAAATGATGAGTGTTTTTTGATAAGGAACCAAACAGGGGAATAAAATTTATCCACATAGTTCACAAGCAGCTGCAAATTAACAGACGGCGAAACAGTACTTACATAAAATCTAAGTATGCGTTTGGCAGTAATGAGCCATCTCGAATGCGCCATCTTCCCAGATTGGCGGTTCGCTAGCTCCGGGGAACAGGAACCAGTCATCACAGTATGATACATTTCATAGAGATACTTTTGATCCGTTCTCAGTTCCTTCATAATATTATCAGATAATTTGGGCACATTGCCAGCCACTGCACAAAACGACTTTGGAGGTTTATTTTCACAAACAGCTAGCTGTTTTCCAATAGGTCGTGAATATTCTTTAGGCCAAAATGTGTTACCATCCCGAGACATGAATAAATGGCGAAACGGCAATTCATTCGCGGGAACCATACAAACACACCATTGCAAAGGTCTCTTTAAATAATATTCCAGGTATTGAATGACACCACCCTTCCAACCTGTATTCGTCACAACCCACACAGATCACCTCTTCCAAGTTCAACCCTTGACTTTCTAACAAACATATGATGGAATCGGTTATCCCTTAAGCAGTGCTATGACTTGTCGTCGTATGTCGTCCAAAATAAATAGATCCCGACTCTGTGAGGGCTGAAATGTGCTCTTGCAATACTTCTCTGCGGTGGTACCGATCGCCTATTTTATCGTTTATTAGTGTTTTGTCCTTTCGTTTATCAAAGTAAATACTACAATATGCTTTAGAAAGAGTTCTATGAATTTTATTCTTATCAATAACAAGGCTTAAATCTTTGGAAGATACCAATCCTATGTCAGCTAAAACTGCCGAAGCGACCGCAGCAGCAGATCTTGGAAAAAATGTGTGCTCTAATCGCTTCTAACTTTTATTGTCTCTGATGTTTCTTCAACAGTCTTGTCGTTTCTTTTGTGTCTATACCGTTTATTGCCATTTCTCTATAATTTCTTTGGTTCAGTAAAAAGTCTCTTTCAGAAATAGGAACTTTCTTTGGTTTTATGCAGGAACAAATGTCAAATGAAGTGCACTTACAAGCAAAAATATTGAAAAGCTGGTTTGACGATTCTAAAAAAACACTTCACTTTGCTTTCGTAGCTATCATTCCTTTTATTTTTGGGATATCTTATCAATGATAGGTATTTGTCGAAATATGATTTCAGCAATTGGATAACTCGTACATTGGAAACGTTGGGAATCGTGGCTTTGGTTCAAATCGCACTAAGTTTTTCAGAAACCATTAAAAAAACTTCTGAGTTAGAAGGATCTTTCCCATTCTTTTATTGTTTCAGTTCATTTTTAGCAAACAAAATGAATTTGATAACTTCACTTACCACTGGTAACTGGCGATCATCAAGTTCTTTATAAGATCCCAAAAAAGCGCAAGTAGCCTCACGTCGTCTTGAACCCATTATTAAAATGTAAGACGAACATGTATTTTATCACAAGAAAGTACGAAGCGGATTCCTTACAGCAATGAAACTGCAATAGAAATGAGACGAACTGCCTCACCGAAGAAGTAGAGAATTTGAGAAAAACACGAATTTTGCGAGTTCGATCCAAACCAATTCCTAACTGAAAACATCCTGTCGTTGCCTGCAAATCGTAGTTTAGGGCTTCACTATCAATAAAATAAAAAATAAAATGGGAGTAATAAAAAATAGTTATGCGACATTGACTGGACGGTTAATTTTTTAATAAAAGTGCCGGTAGGGTCTCACGATATCTTTTTGTGTTTTTTTTTAATTTTTCAGGATACCTTTGTGTACAGTGGTTCAGCTCAGTTTGTATCCATTAGTTAAAAGTAACTTATATAACAAAGCTCACTAGATGGTGGCACAATTTCGCTATAAATTACATATAAAGGAATGAAAATATCTCATTTAAAATTTAATTTTTCATGAAGGAGTGCTTTTTTGCAATATTATTACTGGTAACATCATAAAAGCAAAAATGTTATAAGCTAGAGCTATGTCGACTTTAAAAATGTAAACGTCAAAATGCCGCAATGACGCAAGCCCGTGACAAGAAGTGGAAAAGTCCTTGACAATTTTTTCTTCAATCTTTCAAAATGGTGTTTCGTTCTCGCGGGTTTCTTTCTAAATTAAATCAATTATTTCAAAAATGAAATACATAACTCGATTCTAACACGCAAACGCCTAATCTTTGTACCATTAAATTATATGTGAATAGTTGTTCGTTCGTTCTTTCAAGTCTAAATCGACAGTGCAATAACTCTAATCAATTTTGTCTGTGATGTTTGTGATCTGACTATTATTTACAGTATCTTACGTAAGTACAAGCTTTTTTTTGTTATTAAACAAGATCATTCACATTTCTGAATGAGATAGTATGATAATGCAGGGTCGTCGAATTTACATTACTATCTGTTCCTAAAGCATCCACCCATATTACTGTAGTTTAACCAGTGTTTATACGTTTTATTTCGTCATTTAACTTAATAGTCTTGCGATATGAGAACAGGTTTTATTCCCCTTGAAGGCTATTTCCATCTACAGTGTTGGAAGTGAAGCCATACATAGTTATCTATTTTTCCTTGGCAAGTTGACATTGGAAAATATTTTGATATAACTATGTTATAGCTATAGAATAGTTCAGATCAAAATAAATCAATCACAACATTTGAGTTGTATTTATTATAATGTTGCAAGATAATGAAACAATTTTAATAGGAGCTAACAATTTGTTTCTTATAAGATTTGTTATTAGGAATATAGTAACA